TCGGCCGGGGTGAGGTCTTCCGTCTTGGCGCGGCCGAGCTGCCAGTCCTCATGCTTGTTGGCGGATTCGTCGAGGTAGAACCGGTCGTCGGCGAGGTTGTCCCAGTCGGCGCGCGAGGGTTGCATGCGGGGCTTGAAGAACTCGTTGTAGATGTCCTTGATGCGCGTGACGGGAGGCGGCTTCGGCATGTTCGGGTCGGCGTAACGCTTGTGCTCGTATTCCCAAAAGGTCGAGATCTCCTCGGCGTTCATGTGGTGCATCGTCACGATGGGGTGGCACCAGTGCGTCGGGCCGTACGGGAGGGTGAAGGGCTTCTCGCCGTTGATCGTCGGCCACTGCGGAAATGTTAGCGCGAGGCTTTCTCCAAAGAGTGTAGATCAGGTACAAGTCGCAACAAACTTACCACATTGTGCACATTGACGTCGGCATTGTCCTTCATGGCCAGCGCAAAGATGTAGTCGCCGCAGCACTCCTTGCTGGCGCGGAGGTCCCACTGGTTGCCGACGTTCTGGTGGTCGGCAATCATGTCGTGCATGGCAGCCTGGGAGACAATGTATCCACTGCCGCCGTGGCCAAAGACGAAGTTGCGGATCATGGTGACGCTGCCCAGGTAGTGCTTGTTCTTGGGGTTCAGGTTCTTGAGCCACTGGACGAGGGTGGGCCAGAGGACGTAGGTGTCGGCGTCGATGTAGACGTACCAGTCGTAGTTGGGGCGCATGTGGTATGTCTTCTCGGCGATGTGGACGTTCTTGTATTTGTCGAGATTCCAGCCCTCGTCCTTGCTCTCGGCCAGCTTGTTGCAGCTCTGCTGGTCAGCCTGGCAAGCCTTCTGACGGCGGTAGAGGTCGAAGTCCTTGTTGCCCTCCATGGCCTCGGGGAGGACCCCGTCGAGACTGTCGCGGACGTGGTAGTTCGCGATGGTCTGGTCGAGGTCGGAGAAGATGAAGTATTCGGGCAGGCACTTGAGCATGGTCATGAGCTGGGTTGGCACCTTGTCAAAGGACTCGGTGGCGCCAGTCTTCATGACGACGAGGATATTGCTCGTGTCGGGGAAGGTGTCGCAGATGGGGTCGTGGGGACGGTACGGGATGTCTTGGTTCGACACGTTGTGCTGCGCGAGGCGATCATCTTCGTAGCTCGGAGGCGGCGGTGCTTGGGGGCGACCACTGCCACTGGGGCTGGCGCTGGGAGAGCTCCCGGGAGAAGTTGGTGGGCCGTGGCCTTTAAAAGGGTGGTAGTTGGGGCCCTCGATGGCCCAGTCGCCGCCGAGTCTCCTCGAGGAGATGAGGAAGATGACGGCGGTGACGGAGACGAGGGCGAGAACGGTGAGGGCTCGGCGGGATAGCATATTGACAGCGACTATCGGGTTTACACAAACGTCACGCCGTCTTTGGCCCAATCCCATGATATCATGCGCCGCAAGTGATGGTGAGAGGGTGCCGAGAGGGTCGGCGGCGGCGACGGCAGCGGCGACGGCGGAGTCGATTCGGTAGGGAAGGAAAAGTCAGTCAGTCGATCGTCAAGTCGCTTCCTTTTGTCGTTCAACGAGGCGCGGGAGGGGGGCAGGGCGGTAAGGTGAGTGGTCGCGGGTCGCGATAGCTTTGGATCGCGTCTCGTCCGTCGTTCGGGCTTGGTGAGAAGGGGAGAGGGGTTTTTCTTTCTGGAAAGAACTACCCAAGGAGAAAAGAACAGAATAGCCAAAAGAGCAGGCAACGAATAAACGGCGAAAAGAGTGAAAAGGGTACCCTGTGTAAAAAGGTCTAAGCCACGGCGGCCCAAAAGTCAAAAAAGCAGTTGGACGGCGGCAGGGGAGGGAAAGGAGACGGGTAGAGCTGGAGGATGAGGCGGGCCGTCGCATGAGAGGAGAGGACCTACCTACGTACATGCAGCCCTCAGCAAGAACGTGCTACAGGACATACAGTAAGATGGGGTCAGTATGAGCATAAGATGGCAGGTAAGCTGGACCCCCTGCTTGGTATGGCGAGACAAGACGAGGGGACTTGCGGCGCACCTTGATTAACGGGTGCGACAAAGGTACCTGGAAGCACTTGAAGCGAGCTAAAAGTGAGCTAAGCAAAGGCAACAGGATGAAAATGATGGCAATGGACCCGAGAGGCGGGATGGTGGATGGATGGCGTGGGGAGCCAAGGGTGTCGCGACGGAGACACTGGACGCCACTGATTGAAAAGGGATAGGCAGGGACTAGCACCAGGGGGGAGAGGTGGAGGACCCACGACGGCGCATTGCGACTGATTGAGCCCAGTGGTGTTTTTTCCTCTCCCCTTCCTCGCTCTTTGCTTTGGGGATTTTTATTTTTATTCTAGTTTCGGCTCATCTGTGTCTGGGTTCCATCTCGATACGGCAGACACGCATCGACTTTGGTCCCCGCTAACAATACCAAAGGGTAGGGCCGAGGCGAGACGTGGCCGGTGATGGGCCGCGCAGTCACCACCCTCTGGATACGAAGGGTACGCACACGGTGGTCTCGTGTTCATCCCGTCGTCCAGAATGGGTCGTCATGGCCGGTGGGACTCGAGTGGGAGGGACTGCTGCTTGATGTGATTTCAGGCTGGCTGATGTTGATGAGCAGAAGAGATGAGCAAGCAGCGGCAAAGGGTGTGTGTCACGTCAAGGTTGGAAAGCAGCCCACCTGGTCTGTCTGTTCGAGATAGAGGAGCTGGGCGAACTCTGTTCCTGCGTAGCTAGACTACAGCATGTGGGCACCAACTTGTGGGTTTCTTTTTCTGCTTGGCTGTCCCGGTGAAATGGACCTTGGTCGTGTTTGGGCGGCGCCGGTACGTACACGAGAGAAGGCACGGAGGTATATAATCTCGGGGCGATGGGCAGATAGAAGCTGGCTCGGCGGGGTATGCACCTTCCGCACATCAGGTACGCAGTCGGCAGGCGGACAGCAGCGTACCTACCTCTCTGTATCCGTCCCTGTGCCGCAGACCGGGGACTTTCGAGTCGGAGGCAGGCGCCGTTTGCCTGATCCGTGCGGGTTTTCTGGAGCCTTTCCCTCCTTGACATTTCAAGGACTGCAGCTAGCACACAGTCCTTGGCACCACGCAGGGGGGGTGGTGCTTGTGCTCGACATGCAGCATTTGGTTGGTGATCAACGCAAAAGACTGGCTCGCTTACGGTCAGGGGAGGGAAGGCGAGAGAACTGGAAAAAGGATGGATGAGCTCAGTAGGGGAAGGTTGGAGACGACTTCCTTTCCGGCATGCGAGATGCCCGCAAAATGCGCACCCGCTCGGATTTGGCACACCACACACACGGGCGGAACACTGTGCCCTAGCAGCCGGGGAGCATACGGGCGCGCTGCGCTCTCATCTTCCGTGCTATAGGCATTCACCAACCACTTCGTCCACTGTGCAGTCGCCGCCAAATGCGAGCGAGCGCACGCAGCGTGGCGAATTAATCGCTTTGCGTTGACAGAGCACCGCAATTGCGAAGAGGATGCTCAGCTGCACTGTGTGAGTGGCGCGTTGGGCCCGCAATGCCGACTGCGCTGTCCTGCCGCCGCCCCTTCTGCATCTACACTATGAACCTGCGGATTGGCGTTGGCATTGGCATCGACCGCCCTGGACTGTCTCGGGTGAGACTCACTCCTGGACGTCGTCTCGCGGGGCTGTTGTGTGTGGTCCTGTCACGCTCACTCCCCGGACGACCGCTGTCCGTTGCTCGTGCCTCCTTGCCAACTTGCCGTTGCCCATAGCCCCCTTTGTCTAAATCGCGCTTGTCGTCACAAACACTGTTTGCTGCTGGCGGCGTGTTCAACGGGCTCCAATAGCCTAGCGGGTCATGGCCCTGCCACTCACGGATCTGCAAATCCACGCTAGCCCGCCGCTGCCCCTTCGCTCTAACCTCCCCGCCATCCGTTGCCTTGTTTGTCTCGACACCGAACGTGACAAAGCCGAACAAAGACGGAGAGACACATGCCAGAAGGATACGTATTACGGATAAAGAAACCCAAGAAGACGCCCAGAAATTCTCGGCAAGAAATTCAGAGTCGAGTCAAGCTTTTGTTCCGGCTTTGGCTCACCTTGTCCCTGTCGGCTTCTTGTGCTGCGCTTGCTTTATCCCACTCGGCGCACTCGGCTTAGCGACCCAGACCCAGCGTCTGTTTTACTCGAGTCGATCACTTTTGAGCTGGGTTCTTATTCAGCAAGCTCCCCAGAGTGGAAGAGACATGCGCACTCCAGCGCTTTGCCGCCTTGCTTCACCCACCAAGATGCAACCGCGAGAGTTTGCAATCAAATAACTCTGACCATTTATTCGCCGGTTGCTACAAGAGAGAGTAGATTATTTTTTGTTAGACGATGAGAGTCTCGGTGATAATCTCTATGCCCATGTGGCACAGGAACCGCAGAACATGCCGGCAACCTTCATCGCTAATGTCCGTTTCGCTCACTTCTAACTCTCACAGACATGCCTTGTTTCTCATAGCCACGCCCTGCTTTCGCCCTATCAAACCAAGGCTGGAACATCACCGAAAGGGATTACATGGCCATCTATCCCTTCGGCGTTCATCATGTCGCGAAACTGCCTCGCATCCGCCATCATGTCTGCATTCACGCCATCCAGGTCGAACCCCGGCAGTCCAGTATCACACTCCCTTGATCCTCGCCGTGGCCCGCCCTCTGACGAATTTACACAACCCCACGCCATTCACCATAATAAAGCCTGATTGCCACTGCGCACTTCCTTTTTGTTAACCCCTTTCAAGATAGCCTCTGTTGGTATCGGCATTTCACTCGTGATAATCGGCCAACCTCAACATCTACACACAGGCTGATGTGAGCCGAGAATGCCACGTGTTACTCCGTCGGCGTCCTCAACGGATCTACGCTCACTCGCCCCTCTTGACTCCAGCCGCATCATAGGACTTGCCATACCGACTCTTCCAGGATAGGTACCCGATTTTCGTCCCAATTGAGCGCTTGTTTCCATTGCGAACTCCCGTTGGCCAGTCTAGATCACTCGGTCTTACATTAGTTATTACTTCCAGCTGCCCTTTGCATACACTGCCCGTCGCAACTGCTGATTGAATGACTCGGTGAACCTTTCGAACTGGCCCAGAGAGGTAGGCAACTACCACCCAGGGCCGGCAAGGTATCGAAACTCGGTCATTTACGGGAGGTAAAAGTTGTAACAAGGTCTCCGTTGGTGAACTAGCGGAAGGAGTTATTGCTGAGTGAACACTCTGTAACCCTTTGTGATCATATTTAACTGTTGTTTCGGCAGGCATGCAGTCCCCTCGGGGACGCCCTCCCGGCCACGCCCTTCACGGGCGAGGCGCCCACTGGAGGACACCAAACTCTATTTTAAAGATGTTTCCTTACAGCACTTCATCGTAAATATTCCGCGATCTGTCAACCCAAACTCACGTGCCAGCAGGTACATATAGTATTGTTGTAGCTTAGATGATTTCTGTTGACGGTGCAACCACAAGACGGCGTAAGCTGAAACCTACAGCGTTGTGTCCTATCCAATAACAAAAGGCCCCTTGAAGGATTTCGGAGTAACTGTCTTCCCAAAGAAATGATAGCAGGTCATAGTGATAAGGACTTACTGGTCCCGTGTATTAGCAGGTAATGTGACGTAATATTGGTATCTTTCTACGAGAAGATGTTCGAGACTCCCCGCTGGTTATGCTAATTCTTCAGTGTCACCTTAAGCATTGGTATTGGCTGGTAATAGTTGAAAAGCTCCCTTCCCATGTCATGAACAACTGGCAAAACACGAAGACGAAACTACACCCAATCACTTACAGGTTCTCTTGTTCACGCATATCATATTTGTCCATAGGCAGCACACGGTTTCGAGCCAGGCATGCCATGCTTAAGTCTTCTCAGTGACATAGTCGACAGCCCATCCCGAGATACTGGGATCTATCCCTAAACATCCATGGAAACGTTTTACAACTTTGTCTTTCTCATAGTCCGTCTTTCCAACAGTTCGGGAAATCGTTCGTAGCAACCTCCACCTAAATGCGAGTAGACAATTCTCAAACAAGTACTCTCACTGATAAATGACATTCAAGTTCCAAAGTCATATCAACGTGATAGGCTTTGTGACAGATGACCTGCTAGTTCTCCCCCCTGATATCCTTGCCTAGGGGGGCTTGTCTCGTCCAGATATTCATCCCAACTTTCTCCCCGCTCGTTACCGGCAGCCCAGCGTGCAGATTCCGTTGGTCCCCAGAGCCGTCAACTTGCAGGTTCTCCCAGTACACAAAATTCCCTTCTATCGGACGAAACGTCACGCCGTTCTCCCAAGGTACATCGCAGTCAATAAAGACGCACCATCGATCTTCATGCGGTGCGTCGAGCAGGGGGAAATTGGTTCCTCCACCGGTAACGTTGACCGCCGAAACGTAGCCAAAGAACGAAGACAGACGGTTGCCGCCAAGATGGGCCTTGGTGTGGGACGGGTCGGTGAACCAATCAGTGTGGAAATGATATCGCTCGCCTTTGCCGTACTTGACCAGCTGGAGTGGCTCCAGGTGAGTCTTGGGTATGCCGTAGCCTTGAAAGGCCACGGCGCGCTCCTCGATACAGCGAACCACATCGTCCCGCCACAGACTAGTGCTCTGGGAGGTGCGTACGTTGTGTGTGGTTTTGCCGCCAGACGCATCGATAACGCCGGAGTGGGAGAAGGTCCCGCTGCTGATAATTTATGAGTCGAGGTGCCTTCCGGAGTCGATTGTGATGCAACTCACGCCATGTCCAGCAGATGTTCCCTCTCCGACCGTGACAGGAAGTCGACAAGGTAAATGACTAGAGGCGACTTCGAAACCATGTGAACTTTGTAGGGTGGGTGTGTGCATGTGTAGTCGGCTATTGTCTTCTGGTCTTGCGCTACTGCTGGTCTTGCCATGGTCGCCGCGAGCGCGCAGATTGCTACCGTGATAATGCCCATCGTGCCAGTCGTGCAGACGTTGAATTGACAAAAAGTATAGTCGCACCATGTCCAGAACTCGGGAAGCGCATGGTTTTGAAGTTGGCCCATGTGGCAACGTCCAGCTGAAGGTAGGCTCCGTTTGAAAGCTGGTGAAACCCAATGCGTTTGAGCTGGGAGCTGGCAGTCCTCGATAGTTCTTTGTTTTTCGGTTTCTGGGCCTATTTCAGGGGCTTCGTTGTCTGATCTGCAGTGGCTTCAGACGCGGAAACACCCGTAATGGGGATGTTGGACCTATCTTGGCTTGCTGGGTCTTTACCCCAAGCGACGCTCCATTCTAGCTCCAGCGTGGGCTCTTTTTCAACGTCTTCGTTCATGCTGGCGTCTACATACATACTGCTTTTCATTAGTGACGAAACATATGTTTCCATATTTCGATAATACGTCTCGAGACCTATTGGTAGCTTTGAATTATCTACCTAGGAGCTACCTTCCTCTGCAATGTCTCCGACCCCGAGAGGAGCTACCCCTCAAAGGCAGTAAAATGTCCAAATACGCAGTTGGAATCCCGGCTCCTCCCACCCCTTCTGTTCCTTGCGTACAAAGCTTTGGCATCACTGTGAATTCAAAGACTTAATTGCGCAAATTGAGACATATAGATACGGTATGCATCCACGCACACGGTTTTAAAACAGGGCTATAACTCATGGATCGTATGGCCCGGTTGCCCTGCGTCCAGTGAGTAACTCAGCATCGCCAGACTCTTTCACCAAATAAATGTCTTCGTGCCTGACACCAAACCGGTTTTCTAGGTAGATCCCCGGTTCATTCGTGAAAGTCATTCCAGGTTGAAGAATAACGTCCTTGTTCCATTTGTTTAAGTATGGTGATTCATGGGCTGCTTTAGGTTAGCGTTTGATGACCCGGTGAATCATGACGGGAATAAACAAATACCTTTGATACCGATTCCATGACCCAAACGATGTGTGAAACCGTAACCATATCCCTCATCTTCGATGACTTTTCGAGCTGCAATATCCACACTGGCTGCTGTGTTATTCGCCCTGAAGGCCGCCGCGGCGGCAGACTGGGCGTCCAAGACAATATCCCAGACTTTTAACTTTTCAGCACGCAGTTCAGGGTCAGTGTAACGAGCCTCCTGCTCATTCAATACCTTTCCAAGCAGCCGTAATATAAATCCCAGGGCAGTGGGATCTTGTGTCTTTGGCGGATTGATAAAGAAGCTGCGGCAGATATCGGAACTGTAGCCCAGATAGTGAGCGCCCACGTCAATGACGACCATGCTTTCGGTTGTCAATTTCTTCCATCCCGTGACGAAACCGCCATGAGGAAGAGCACCGTGCTCTTCAAATAGTACGATGTTGAAAAAAAGCCCGAAATTGATGGAGAGCAGAGCTGAGTTCAAGATTTCGGTCACTTCATTCTCTGTGAGACCAGGTACCAGGCATGGCCGCATGGCTCTCACAGCCACAACAGTGCCGGTGTTCACTACACGAAGAAGTTCGACTTCCGCTGGGCTCTTCTGCTGTCTGACGAGCTCGACCTCGGGGTTGAGGCCGACGGTCTCGAAGCCAGCCGATTCCAATCCCCGGACAATGAAGTCACGGATCTCTTCGTCGACCATAAGCTTTGCGGGTCGGCCATTGAAGACGCGTGAGTTGAGCAAAGTCTCGTACGGATTCCAATGCTCTTCCCAAATAACAACATCTAGTTCTTCCTCTCGCGAGGGTATTCCTAGCATTCGGACTCGTCCTTCCTCAAAATGAGGCGATAGAAAAGCTGTCTTAGCACTGATTGTGCCAGAGGAAGAGACTTGAGGCAGAACGAGCATGAGGAACGGCCTCTCCTCCGGCTCCCAAGGCTCCCAGTCAGTCTGAGAAACATTGCCGTAATACCTAGTTGGGTGTTAATAAAAGACCACCTCCTGCAACACTAGTGTGTTTCCCAAACTCACTGAAAAGTATAACCGGGCTCCAAAACAAAAGCGTCAACATCTGATGCAGCCAAGGCGCGAGCGAGCCGATCTCTACGCTCAAGAAACTCTTGCGCGGTTATTGGCACAGCGGGGTCTAGAAAAGAAAGATCGGAGTGAAGGTTGCGAATGGCGCATTCCTGGGCTTTTTCGTATGCATTGGCTGGGGTAGTCCGGTCGTAAAATGAGATAAAGTAGTAGAAGGAGATGGCAGCATACAACAGACACGAAGTCGCAATTAGCTGTAGGACACGAGCGTGGCGTCTACTGTGCTGCTGATGCGGCGAAGAAGACACATCCTCGGGGCACTTCTCTGCGTTTGGCATCTTGTTCGCGATCTCAAATACGGTTTTTATTGAGGATGGCAACCAACGTCCTAAAGATTGTGGACTCTTTCAGGTTGGTTGAAAATAAAGAGCGAAGAGGCAGCAAGAGATGCATTGTCGGGAAACAGGAAGTCGGAGGCTTTCCGACGTCGCCCCAAACCCCTCTCCGGGGTGCAGCGAATGGAGATCGATTTCCGGATTGGGGGCACGTTCTCCACACGCGTCGCACCGGCATTGCAGGAGGAACAGCAGGTACAAGCGGCGTTTTCACATCCGCGACATGGGTGTAGATAGCGCTGGATACTTTCCCGTCGGCTTCCAACGCCGGTCCGGAGAAGATAAGAAGATGGCCGCGGCATAGGCTGACGTGAAAGTGCCGATTGATCGGGGTGTGTCCGGACCAAGCTTTATACTAGTAGACGCCCGCTCGAGAATAAGAAAGAGAATTGGCCCACCGCCCAGATGCGAAGTTAATTTTTACTTCATTCTCGTCATTTCTTTTACTGCATTCTAGTCTCATGTAAGGTGACAACGGACGATGGCTTCGATGCAAGATGTCAACACGGCAACTTCCACACAAAGCCCTGTCGCTGGGGACGACAGAATCACCATTGACGTAAAGAACACCATGAGGAATGGTCTCAAGGAGGGGGACGTGGCCATCCTCGAAGAGGAACCCCCAAAGACTTATTACAGCAGTCTCTCCGTGTGGTTGATGGTTCTATTTTCCGGGCTTGCGATTGGGTCGGATGGCTAGTATGTTCGCACTCGACTAACGAGCATTCCAAACGAATATATGGCGTCTTTCACGGCAACGCTGACAACTGTGTAGCAATGCCGCCGTGATAGGCAACGTTGAACTACTACTCGCTATTCTTTACCCTGACGACCTGACGACAGCAATCTATCAGCGACTTTCCAACGCTTTCCTCATTGGCATGATTATTGGCATGATTCTCTTCGG